TCAAGGGCTCTTCTACTTTTTCTGTCCATCTCACGAGCCTGATGTCCGTGCGGTGTGCTGACGGCGAGAGGTGCCAAAATAAGTGCACTATTCTGTCTTGTCTGCCATTTCTAAGCCGGCTCGCTGCTCCTATTATTACCCCGTAGTTCATATGTGGGGGTGCTCGCATGGCGCTGGGATGAGAGAGAATGGCATATTAGTAGTCGGTTTTGTTTTATCGGCGTGTCTGGTTAATTAGACTGGCTTTATTGGGTTTCCCCTCTGATTATTCCCCGTCCGTCTCCCTCCACTTCTCTTTCCGGACAGCCATCAACGCTTCCCACTGTCCTTACCGCAAACCAGGATAGCATCACAGCGTCAGATATTTCCACGCAGTGCGGACTCCAACAGACCTTCTATGCAAAGTATTGAAATCACCATCGTCATGTAATGTGGGTTGACAATAAGCCGTGTGTCTTGTGATCCTGTTGATGATGCTGTACAGCATCTACTTTATCAAGGCTTCGTCAAGGGTAGGTAAGGGTTATAGAGACAGTCCAATCCCAGTCCAGGGCGGCTTTCTTTTTATTTTTTTTCCTCGTTACGACATTCCTACCCCGTTGGACCAACATGGCTAGAGCCTCGCGTCCTCGCCACATCACCACTCTCCCCGTCTTCATCCTCCTTCTCATGTCCGTAGGGGAGAACCCGATATTAACACCCTCCCACTCGGCCCAACCCCTAAAAGAAAAAGAAAGCAACTTTGACACTTTTGGAAGCGGAACTGGCCACCATCTGATTTATGTCGGAGAGGTGCCCCTGGTATATTGCTTTTTTATGTTCTCCACATAATGATGACGGTGCTTTCGGTGCGTGTGCTGCGTGTGCTGCGTGTGGTTCGTAGGTGTGCTTTCTTTCTCGGGTGGTCAATATTGATCTCTCGCACACTTCGGCCGTCTTGTTCCCCCTGTCGATTGCCCCGGCAGACAATGCATGCTTTTGTATAAGTAGAACAGGGTCATGTCCCCATTCCGTGGATAACCCGTCCTTGTCTCTTCTCGCCCTTTCCTTGTGTTGTTCTTTTATTCATTCGATCTTTCAGAGTGTCTGTGCCGTTGTTCTATTGTACTAGTACGCTTGTACTAGATCGCCCTGTCTTCAGTGGGCATATCTTTTTTTTTTTTGCCACCCTTGGAACGGTTCAACCTTCGAGGAGGCTCGCGAACGACACCCAATTTCACTCGACATCCTACACGACTTCCACTATGGAGACGGTCACCCTCATTCTGCTGTATCTGGCCGTGCCCAGTCTCATCTACTCGGCCATCCAACACATCCTGTCATGGAGCAAGACGAGGGGTGGTGGTGGTGGTGACGGCAAGGCCAAGTTTCCCGGCCCTAAGCAGTATCCGCTTGTCGGACGCATCCACGACCTTCCTCGCTTCTCGATGTGGCTCAAGTTCAAGGAGTGGGCCGACGAGCATGGGCCCATATATCAGACGCGTGCCGTCGACCAGACATTTGTCATTATCTCGGACGAGAAGATTGCCGAAGAGCTGCTGGTAAAGCGCGGCCACATCTACTCAGGCCGGCCACAGATCCGGTCACTCTTCCGCCACAAGGAGGGGCCGGCGTACGTGGCGCTCATGGATCGCCACGACACATGGCAGCGCCAGCGCAAGTGGGTGCACGCAGCCATGGCCGAGGCGCACAAGCACAACTTTTACGGCCATCTCGAGGCCGAGTCGACACGGTTCGTGGCCATGCTTGTGTTGGACCCAGCACGCTTCCTGGATTACACGCGCGAGTTCTGCGGTCGTGTCATGTCACGCTTGGCCTGGGACGACGCCACACAGGGCCGCCTTAACGGCGAGAGCGCCGACACCACGCTGCACTGCATGAGCGTGTCCGGCCCCATTACCAACACAGTGACGCCGCTTTGGCACATTCCGTTCTTTGTCAACCCATGGAAGAAATTCGAGGTCAAGCGCGAGGCCGAGCAACGCGCCTGGTGGCGCCACAACTTCCAGCTGGCTAAGGCGCGCTATCTCAAGGACGATCTGCCCAAGGACACCTGGGGCTACCGCTACTTTGATCAGCTGCAGAAGGACGGCAACGTGACGCTAGAGCAGGACGACGACCAGGAGATTTTTGCGAGCTGCATGATCGGGTTCATGAACCTTGTGGGTGTCGTGACCATCTCGGGCCCGCTCAAGTTCTTCCAGATGGCCATGGCGCTGCACCCAGAGTGGCAGCAGAAGGCGCAGGCCGAGATCGACCGTGTGTGCGGCGACCGCATGCCCACCATGGACGACTTTGCGGCGCTGCCGACGGTGCGTGCATGCCTCAAGGAGACGCTGCGCTGGCGGTCGGGCGTGCCGCTGGGGGTGCCGCACCAAGCCGAGCGCGACGACGTGTTCCGTGGTGTCGAGATCAAGAAGAACACAATTGTGCTGGCGTGCGAGTGGTCCATCAACCGCGTACCAGAGCGCTACCCGGACCCGGAAAACTACCACCCGGAGCGGTATCTCGAGCCCGGCTGGCCCACGTACATGGAGCCGCTGACCAAATACCCCAACTTCCGGGACGGCGCGTCAATGCACACCTTTGGCTGGGGTCGGCGCACGTGTCTGGGCAAGGACATTGTCGACGACGAAATGTTTGTGTGCGGCGCAGCGATGCTCTGGGGCCTGACGCTGGCGGAAAAGCGCTGCCCACTGACGGGCGACCTGATTCCCATCGACACGCAGGCGACCAACTCGCACGTCATTCTCGAGCCGAGTCCGTTCCAGATCAGCATCAAGCCGCGGACGCCGGCGCGGGCACAGCAGATCCTGGACAACTTTGCCAAGGTGCGGGATCAAGTGCGTGTCGAGATCTGAGGCTGATGGTGAGGTCGATGTGCTCGCTGTCCATTTGTATGTTCTTGTTATAAGAGTTAGTTAATGTCAGGTGTCAGTGTTTGTTCAAAGTGAGATAGATGCTTTGCAGTTCTCACCTTTTCCCATGTTTTCCCCGTACGTGCGTGTGCTTGGTGTTTTACACTTTCGCTCTCCACCGTGTCCGCTCCCTCCCACTCCTTCTTCATGTACCTTTCCTGTCCTTCCATAGAACGTGCAATAATAGTCTTATTGCCAGCCTTATGAACGCTTGTTCTCGTCACTCATCCCAAATGCTCAATTCTCAATTTACAGGAGAACGGCTTGCGAGAAGGAGGTGGTAGGAACAGTCGCGGAATGATAAGGAATGCAAAGGCCAAAGTCGTGTCATGTTGACTGATCGTGTGATAAGATCCCAGTCTAGGCAGGAATCTTATAAGCATTGGCTCGTTTAACAAGATCACGGGCGCTGGGGTGTTGACATGCTCTCCATCGTGAACCCACCAACTGGCCACGCTGCTGGTCATCATTGTCCTCGCCCATTCCCCCGTCTCAGTAACATCGCGCTTACCTGGGCGGAGGTTTCATGACTGTCAGCACGCTTGTCGTTGCCCAGGTCGGCGTAGCGCACGATGAGGCTTCCTTGGTATTGTTACCGGCTTCTACCCATTCGTCTTGAGGTCGGCAGCTCCATCGAAAGTACTGTAAGTGGTGCCGAGCAAAACCACGTATGCGGCCAGCACCAGCTGAGCCTGGCTGGCATTGTTAACTCCACGGCCATTGAGGATTTTTGCACCCCGAAATGGTCCTGCCCAACATGCAGAACTTCGCCGACGACAACGAAGCCGAGACGACGCTGCCTTTCGCGTTGCGATGTGTCGAGTACAATCGGCAGGAAAGGAACGAGACCAAACGCTAGATAGAGCCAAGATACATGGCAAAGGTCATGAAATAGGTTGATTTGACGACAGCCAGCGATGACAAGTGACCACGAGAGACTAAGAGGGCGGCTGCAGAATCAGCGGCCAAGTGCGTGCCCTTGGTTCGGCAGGTGCGTTGGCATCGCTCTTGCCTACACCAATAAGCTTGTCAGGCGACCTCTTGCCACGGCCTAAGGCGACAGCGTGTCAACAGGAAACATCAGGTTTGTGCGTGTGCGGGTGTGTGCTGGTGTGTGCTGGTGCCAATTACGACGCTCAAAAAAATGAGGAGGCTGGGAGCATGATTGCAGCTGACGACCAGGTCTCGCCACGGCCCACGGCCATGCCAAACTTCAAAGCAGGCCCAAGGCAACCTTATCGGAAGGCGCACATTAAGGCATGAGAAAATGCAGAAAGCGAGAAGGACAGAGCAGGGGGACCGGAGGCAGGGAGGACGTAAATGGGGAAACCGAACAGAAGGTGCAACTCACATGCATCTCGGAACTTGAATGAAAACAAGCCAATCAGAAGCCAGGAAGTTGTTTACCTCGTGTCACAACACTGGAATGCACGTACTCGCCCCATTGTCTGAGACACCTGCCGGCAAAAAGTAAGGGGACACCAGACCGGGCGACTTCTGAATTCCTCCTTAACTTGTACGATGTATGTCGTAATTACTTCGTAACCAAACGAGACAGAAACCAGAGGGCCATTGCTGTCCGGCGCCTTTTTTATCCTTTCGCCGAACGGCGCGTTTCCACAGATTAATCCCTCGTGGCTGTATGGGAATGCTTGGCGCAGAGCAGCTTTCAGCCTCGCCCAAACAAAGTGGACCGGACGAAGCGACCCTGTGCCCTCAAATTTCCTCCAGTTTCAGGGGATCTCAATTGGTCTTGCAAATGATATTCAAATGATATTTGCAAATGCCGTGCCTTCCATTTACCAGAGAAACTAGTCGCTTCCTTCCTTCCTTAAAGCTTCTCTTTTTCCTTTGTGCGCTCCTTCCCCTTGTGTTCACTTCCAGCCCATCTCGTTATCTTGGCGCCTTCCTCATTGTCTCACGGAGGAAACACAGACGGGGCTGATAAAAAGCGAAAGCCGCCACAGGGTAAGACAGGGAAAGTAAACATAGATACGGAGTATTACGTCGTGTCGTAGGAAAGCCTGGGAGCATGGTACAACTACAACTAAGCGCGTCGTATCATGCAAAGCGCGCCTCTCTTCAGCTCCAGTCAGCTTTCAACCTCTTCTTACCAACCGTTGTCAATGTTTTCATACCTTCTCTCTTTCTTTCCCTGTCTAGTTCCATGAATCTGGGTTGCTCCTGCCTTCCTTTGCCAATGGACTGCCAAATTCGCTGAACCCAAACCCCTGTTCTTTCCCGAGCCAGCTTAGCTTCTCCGTTCTGCGTAATAACTTCAGGGAAGGTCCCAGACATCTCCTTCCTTTGGCCCTGGCCCATCCCCGTTCTTCGGTCTGGCCTGGCCGCTCCCAGCCTTTCTCCTCTTTTTCCCTCATTTACGCGTTTCCAATTTGTTGATTCCTCTCGCCCTTCTTCCTCCTTGCATTTCATGATCGCGCTCTCACTCGCTGCGCCTTTCTCAAGCGTCAGTTCTGTTTGCTGTCGTATATTCTCTCGCAATTCCATCTCTATCGGCCTGCACGTCTCCTGGAGTTTGCCCGCACTGCCAATCTTTATTTCGTCGCATCTCATTCCGACTGCCTCTCGTTTCACCCCCTACGCGACGCATTTCTGTCTCGCTTTCTCGCCCACCGCTTGTTTTCCAATCAGCGTCATTCTCTTCGTTTTATCCCCTTTTGTCGTTTGCCACCTTTGGCGCCTCCGTTTTCCTTTCTCTCCTTCCAAGGGCGACCCGCATTCGTTTCCTGTGTAGACCGTTAGATCTGGTTTTCGTCCGCCTGCCACTCACATTCCAAAGGTCCGAGCCGCCATTGCACAGCCGAGCTTTTGCTACTTACAAGCAACAATGATGCTTTGAGTGATACCGGCCGATCCCAGAAAGCTTACATCGGCAACGAACGACGAACCGCCTGGCTTGTCAACCCATCCGACGACATCCTCCGAACTTGCTACGTCATTTCAGTACACCGTCATCACGCGCTCTGTTCGTGTACCTGCGACAATTGAGAGAGGCGCGTTTGAGCTCCTGCACCTGCACCTCCTTTTGCGATTGCTTGACCCAGTTCTGGGCCAGGAAATCCTGAACCTGCAGCTGTCTGTTGCATTCAAACCAAACGTACAGCCAAGGCCCACTATCCAACGTAGGTCGCGCACACAGCAGACCAACACTACTGCACGGCGCATCGGCTGCATCGGTGCTTGCTGCATCACACGGAAGCCCACAAACTCGTTTTAACACAACCAAATTCAGGGACGTCAGCAGGTCGGATGCTAAAGGCCAACAAGGAAACAGAGGTCAACGACACAGGCCAGCTCGCATCCTGACCGCGGCCCACAATCGCGTTGCGCACACGAAATCAATTTGCTGTGTCCCATCCAATAATCGCATCATCCTCATCGGCCCTCGTCATTGTCGCCCATTTTCCCCGTTTTCGTACCCTGTCTGCCAGCGCTACGGCCTATTCTTTCTGTTTCTCCCCGCTCTCTCAAGAACGCTGGCCTCTTGTTTACTAGCTGCCAGCACTTATCTGTTCTTTTTGTATTTTCGCCGTTCGCCCTTTCCACACGTGCATGTCTCACCGACACGAGGAACAACTACTCCATCCAACCCCGTCACCCCAATCAGCGACTCAAGCCACCGCTGTCTCAACACCACCAGCCCACCGGGTTCTGTTGACAGGTCCTGCCAAATCTTGGTATTGATATCGAGAAATTCCCTCACGAATTCGCAGCAGGAGCACAAAATAGTCTCCAGGCAGAGCCGCAAAATCGCAACCAACCGGCGTGCTTTCAGACCTTGGCCTCGAAGACGGCCGGTGGCCACTGCTACTCTTTGCGTTCAACTTTTTTTTAGTCCGGCAGTCGATCTAGAAACACCATCCAGCCCTTAAAGGAGTGCGTGTATGTGCGGAGTGAGCTTTTGACAACGCATCGTGCAGCGGGCCAAGGTGGTGGAGGTGGAGGGGAGTGCCACGGTAGACTTAGTTCTTTCCCTCTTGTTTCTCCCGTTTCTCTCTTTTCTTGTGCTCGCTCTTCAATTTCCCCTGGTTAACGACATTGGTTTGCTATCCGCACTGCTTGACATTTGGCAGCAGCCTGCTCACTCGTTTTTTTTTTTCGGCTGGCTTCTTTCTTTGCTGTTTACCTTATTATTGTCTGTCCTTCCCGTTCGATGACCTCCCAGACGTCTTCACTTCTTCCAACAAAAAACTTCGGCACGTTTTCTGGTTTCTTTAGTCCGACTTGTTCAATCGTTTTCTGTGCCCCCATCCTTTCGTTGTTTTCATTGGCCAGAAGTTTGCTGCACATCTCCCACCACGCTGGCCAAGGTCTGAGGTTTGCTTTTTTTTTTTTTTGTCCTGCAGGATCCGTCCGCATTTCGTGCCTGCTTTGGTCTCCACCGCTACTTCTGCACCTTGTGCTGCACAGCACTGCACTATATTACTGCAAAAGACTGTGGCTATTTCGTCTGCATCGTCTGCATGGCAAATCCGTGGGAAGCAGGGGGAAATCATCGCAGGGGAAACCAGGTGCTTTCCACAACAAGTTGAAGCAGGAAGGAAACTGTTGACTGGGCAAACACAGGGTCGGCAGCACCTATCACACTCGCTCATGCAGCACAAAGGGACACTGTTTTTCAAACACGAAACGAAAACAACACGAAATTTGTCGAAAGGCGTCGCATCGCAATAGTCGAACAAGTTCTCGATCACCTGTGACTTGTCCAAGGCTGATTTGGCACTGCAATAGCGCCCTTTGTTGCCAGGCCGTCTTTTCCTCCTGCATTAATTCTCTATTTTTGTGCTTCCCACGTACCGTTTTCGAACCCCTTTCACAACTCCCACATAAGGAGAGGAAGGTTTTGTTTACTTTGCAAGACCTCTTTTGCGTCACGAGATTCCAACCTTGATTACCACTCGCCGCTCACATTTCGCTCTCTTCAAGGCAGCTTTCCGTCAACTATTGATTTTCTTCTTTCTTCGGACTCCGCCGTTGTATTCCGGTGTCACAGGCTCGGCGTATCGGCCACGACCTGCCTTGTTTTTATTGATCCCCCCGATCTTCAATTGGCTCTCAAACGACTGCACAACCTATTATTTGGACAATTCACTTTTCATTTAGCCTTTTCAAACTCCATTTCACCTTAAGGAGCGCGTGTTGGATCACCAAAAACAAAGTCTCTTCCTTCGCTTGACATTCAGCACCGCCATTAACCTTTTTGGCCTCGCCAGACGACAACGTGGGCTTTCCTACGCTCTCTCTCGCATCCTGTGTGCATATCCACTAGCAGCTGGCTTTACTGGCGGAATACAAGCCTCGTCTGTTTGCTTAGGGTCCTTTTTATTAAGCCCACCCATGTATCGACTTATTTCAAGTTTACGACCTAACATCGTTTCACCCTCTCAAAAACCCGACTCCTAATTCACAACTCCTTCAACAGCATCCACGCCCCGTTGATCGTATGTCCAAACTGTTTCCCAATCTGTGGCTCTTGCCTTCACTGGAAAGATATCTAATAATACCTCTTTATGCAGACTGTCACACATATCTCCGTCTCTCACCACCTCTTCTATCCTATCCGACTGCTCACATATTCTCGCGATGGCGTCCTCCGAAGTCGACCAAAAATATCTCGGCAAACTGGCCAAAGCGGTACAAAATGATAACCCACTTCTTTCAACAATGCTCTTCAAAATCTTGGGTCTTTCCATCAGCTTATCAGAACAACTCGTCCTGGCCCGGAAACAGCGGCGACGAGAGCCTTCCAAATCACAAGAAACCCTTGAGCTTTATTTTCACATAATATGGCTATCACGTGAGGGGCTGGTCATGCTGGAACAGTATGTACTACCCGTTGTGGGTAAATACGTCGAGTTGAAGGTTCTAGCATACAAATTACGCGCCTCCTTTTACCACATTTTTGTCCTATTCTACAATCAGCCTCCAGTATCGACTATGGGTCTGGATACGCCAGACCTGCAAGGATCGTCATCTGCCGACCAAACACCACCACAAGCAGACAAGGGCAAAGGCGTCGCGCGCGACGACGACTTGGAGAGTACTCGATCGTCTTTACAACCCACCCACGCAATGGAAGGAGGTCCAGTCAACCCTCCTCCGGGCTTCGGCCCCGAACCGCCGGCAGCCTTTTTGCTTCCCACCGCCGACTATCTTCCTCTCGCCAACCGTTATTTCAAAGACGCCATCTCCTTAGCTGAAGGCCTTTTGTGGGGCTCCCACTCGCTGCGCCTCTCCGTCAAGACCGAATACGCTTCGTTTTTGTATGAATGTGTGCACGATGCCGAGGGCAGCCGTAAACTCGCAAAGGACACAATCACCGAAGTCTACGATGCCCCCGAGGGTATTGACAACGACATGTTCAGCGACGCATGCGAGCTCGTGACAGTTCTCGGCAAGATGATGAAGCGCGGCCTTAGTACATCCTCGCGGGCAAAGGGAAGCACAAGGCACACCCAATCCTCCAGCTCTAAATCGCAGCAGCAATCCCAGGGGCAACCACGTCCACCGCAGCAGCAGCAGCAGCAGCAACGGTCGCAGCCCCGGCAGTCAGAAGCCAGATCAGCCACAAGAGCGAATGCACCGCCGCCGATACCCCCTACAACCAGTGTTCCCTTGCTACACCCCGACGAAATGGTCGAGTTTATCTGACCAATTTAACGCTTCCTTTCCCGCTTGTACTCTTTCCTCGAGATTCCAGATACCTCCACTGCCTGTTTATCAATCGCTGTACAACTTCTCTCGGCCTAGAAAAGTCTTCCCTTAGGACTTTATTCCAAAAGCTAAATTGCATCCTCTAGGCGTTCTTATTCAAAATTTTAATTTGGGGTATTTTATTGTTACACTAATCGTCTTCCTTTTTACTATTCGCTATTTGTTTTTTATCTTTGTACATTTATTCCAAGGACAGGGAGTTTCTACGGAGGAAGAATTCCATATATTTTGCCTGGTGATTTTGCATACCTTTTATATCTATTTTATTTTGGCTTACTGCTTTGTTTTGTTTCTTCGCCCATTACTACCTTGACCTTCATGGTCGATCTTGTTTTATATACTTCTCGTCAAAGACAGTACCTTTGATCGATACCCAGAGCAGCTTGACTGCAGCTTCGTCAATTTATTCAAGTATTTATTAATTATCTGAGTGGCGGATTTTTCTTTGTGGGCTTACATGGCTTCATCTCATATACATGTCTTTCTCTCTCAGTTTCTCTGATACACGCTCTGCGCCCTGCCCGCCCGGATCTTCTCTACCTACATCCGCCAGCGACAAAAGTCTTATTTGTGATAACGTCTCTATTGAGTCTTCACTTTGTGCCACACCTTCAAACGAGAACTTGGACCGGTCTGCAGCGGTCGGTGCTCTATCCTCTTCAGTCGACATGTCCATCCGCTGGAGCCCGTCTCGTCGTTCCCGGCTGCCTCCTAGTAGGCGTTCTCCCCGCCTACGGCCCCTGCCACGCTTCGGAGAGCTTGTTTCGGTCTGGCCATTGATTGGTGCGTCGTACGCTTTGGGCGCATCCCTCGGCATTAGCACTGTTTTCGTCGTCGTCTGCTCCTTTTCTTTTCCGGTTTGGGGATCTGGCAAGAGAGCCCCTGCGAGCGAAGTCGACGATGTCGATGTGGTGCCCATCCGTATTTGGTGTTGTCGATACAATTGTTCAGTCGACCTTTGCTGGTGGCTTTCTACAATCTCTCCTTGATAGCCACCTCCACGGTCCTCTATTCTGGTTGCGTATTCGTCTTGCAGCCACCGTTGTTGTCGTCTCTTACGCTGCGCTTTGCAAACGTGCCACAGCACCACCAGAATCACCACAGCCGCGAAGCCAAGCGCAGCGCCAAGACCGGCTCCGAGTTTGCCGCGGATGGGCGAAGACGAGCCACCAGACGACGAGTTTTGGGATACAGTCGGGGCGAGAGAAGGCGGGGGCGTGGGCATCGTGGTCGTAATATTGCCGCCTATCGACGTCGAATTTGCTGCAACGATAGTCCCGTTGCCATTAACGGCGGTGCCGTTGCCACGGCTGCCACTGGGCAAAGTTGGCCATGCTGTCTAATAGAGAACACGTCAGCAATCACCGCAGAGCAGAAGCATGAGGAAAGCCTTGGTGGCGTTGGTCGACATACAGGAGACGCTTGGAGGACGACCATTATGAGAAAAGCGAGCTGAGGTAGCTGCAACAATGGATTCCAAGGACACTTTTGTGACAAACGGCTTGCTTGTGTCCAAGGAGAGAAAGTCATGGCATCCGGGCGGGAGAATACTTGATATTAAAGTAGAGAGCGTCCGACGGTTTCTTCGCAAGACCTTTCTGTGCAAGGCTGTGGGTGCCAGCCAGATCCAGAGACGTTCTTGAGGCAACCCAACGGATCGCGTGTTACGTATACCATGCACGAATCGAGCCATTGCCCCCTCGTCCTTCCTATCTCTTTTTCATTACGGAGTACAGGTGTCGATATTGCACACTGATCCTTCGAGCGGGCCATCTCTCTCGGCAAGAGGTGGCGCGGCATCACTGGACAGAGTAATATGGATGGATACACGGCTGACGGAGGTGGAACTTCAAGACAGTGCAGATGCCGCAACTCGAACCGGGAAACCTTGTCCAAAAGATGGTAAGCATTTTGTATTTTTCTCTACAAAATTGGTAGCCATTCTTCTGCCCGATGCCATAGTAAAACAGTTTAGTTAATGTTCACAATGAGTTAGTTACCTTGTGGAGTCGAATCGATTTTGCCATTTATCCACAAAGGGAGAGCAGCATCACAAGACCTGAACGCGTATCCAGTTCCTCGGGTAGTTTTGCTGGGAGTGCGGGTTGATATTGCTGTTAAAAGTTCATCGGCTCCCAAGATTGGAGCCCGTCTCTTGGGGTCTGTCGAATGCTCTTCAGTCGTCATTTCAGTTTCCGTTTCCAAGGACTTGCTGGCGCCGCATGCGCCGCCTGGTTGCAGGGCAGCCTCCCTATTAATCCATTGACTGATTACTGTCAATTCCAGATAGAAGAGCTGGACGAGGCTTTCGTGACGGTGGCCAAAGGAACCAGGCTGTGCCGGTTAAAGTCGACGATGACTCGTTCTAAGGCGAGTGTGACAGCAAAGTCTATTGCTAATGTAAAGGAATAGGTGCCTAAGGCCAAAATGGGGTGACCGTAGGTATGGCTCAGTGAAGGAAAAGAATAAGAAGGTAAGAATTTAGGTATACTTAAGTTCTCAAGACTTTCGCTTAGGCGACCATTCTACGATACTCGGCCGCCTACGAAAGGATTCTTATATATTCCTTTTAAGTGGAGAAGTTTGCAGAGTTTTTGCAGAGTTTTCTTAGTTCCGTCGCTCGTCGCCCTAAGGCGCGTTGGCGACAATGGAACTTACCAGAATCTCCCTTTTCGCCTTATGTACGATCGGAACTCTGGTTGAGCTTTTGACCTTCCTCGGCTACTTGGGTAAATTTGGTAGGCGATTACTTGCCAAATCTCTTTCTCCTTACATTATCCCCCCCTTTCAATAATATCGTCCCGATATTTGAAAAAGGTCAAGGCTTCATTTGCCGTTGAGTCTGCGACGGGACTGAGACCAAGAGCCCATGCATTTGCATCAGAGCAGTGGCGTAGCTTGCGCATCAGAGCCATCGCGTAGCAGTTACGGGGTCCTACGTGGAGAAAACCTTTGGTAAGGAAAAACTCCATCCAACATAACGGCGGCGTACGGTCGTAGCGCGTTCGTTTACGGGGCTTAGCTATTCCGGGTCCCCTTTTAGTTCAGGGACCTAATGTCACGGCCCGTTCCCGTAGTTGGTGATTTTGAATTTGTGCATGGTGATAATAGTAATTGTCGGCGTAAGGTAGCCACCTTTTCTTCATAATTTTATGGAGAAAATATGGCCTGGAAACAGCCTCTTAGTGGACATGGTATGGATGTGGTATTTGGATATGCTTTGTATTGATGAGCAGAGATAAAGGAGGAATGTCGGTTATCAGGCATGTTAGAACAGGAGGAGGGTCAAATTGGCAATTCATCGCGTACTAAATACCTACTCGCTGTTTTCCACGGATGGAAAGCCTTTGAGAATACGCGGTTCAGCATCATATCAGCCTCGGCCAGTCTTTTCACTTTCAGTATTGTTGACGGTTACGTCGTATCTTCTCTCGGAGAATCCCACACCACCAGCATCTTACACATGCCACAGCAGCACCTGTCTGTGCCTCATCATTTGCCATTTGCCTTTTGCAATTTATCATTTATCTTTTATCATTTACCTTCCAAGTTTGCCGTTTCCGCAACGCTGACGTGCCCTGGATGGGCCTCTGTCTCTCGCACAGCGCATGATTCATCCTTGATCTTCCCTTTTCTTTCCGAAACAGAATTTTCCGACGACGACATACCGCTTTTCTCTTTACCGCGCTTTCGACCTCGAGCCTTGGCGGCGTATCAGAGTTGGGATTTTCAGCCACAAGCAACCATGTCCACTGCCGTCAAGAGGACTTTGCATCTCCAGCCTCACAGCGTTTCATCGACGAGGATCCATTGCTCCAGCCATGCGCCTGTTTCTAGTTGATTGATTCCCTCGCTCTGAGTCGGTTACGATGACGACTGCTTGCCGGAAACCGTGAGGACATTGCACCCCTGAACGACAAAGATGGGAAGATAATTGGCCGTTGATGCCGTCGGAGGATTTTCGATTTCGCATACATATACCGTCTTACTTCGCATATTAGTACATAGTGGCCTACCTATGTCTGGGAGTCTGCTGTCTCCAGCCCATATCCCATATCTTTCTATTTCACGATTGATCGGTTATGTCCACAGCATCGTGACACTCATTTTCTATTTTTTTTTATCCATTTCTTGTCACTCCTTCAATTCTTTACAGCTTGCTGGTCTCGCTACTCGTCGGCAGTGCCGCATTCCCCTGTACTCTCTTTTTTAATTTTAGATCCTTTTCTGTTTTATTTTTTCGTTCTTTTTTCACCTTCTTTTCCAACAATCATGGTCTCCTCGGTTGCTCTGTTGGCTGCGGCCATTTCTGTCGTGTCTGCTTCCACGCCACCGGGCTTCCAGCCAGCCGTGAATGCTGACCTCGTGGTGGATTTCGGCAACACGCTGATCAATGGCCAGGTCGTGGCCAAAAACCGTGAGTGTTCGCTTTTGTGTGGAAGTCGACTGTAGGTACAACAAAGCGACTAACACGCTGTGATCCAGTCGTCGCAAACCAGCCGACCAAGGTCGGCACCACGCGCCGCGTCACGGGAAACTCGTTCGCGGTCATCATGATTGACTTGGACATTCCGACCAACACGCCCGGTCAGACCTCGACCCTGCTCCACTGGATGCAGACGGGCCTGGCGCTGTCGCCCCAGGCCTCGCGCGTCGTGGGCAGCACAAACGTCGGTGCAGACGCCAGCGCGAACAACAACGGCGGTGGTGCCTCCGGCAATGCCATCCAGACGGCCTTCTTGCTTCGCAACGCCACCGGCCAGGCTCCCGCCGCGCCGTACATCAGCCCCAACCCGCCGGCGCGTCTACCGCTCAGCCACACGTATGCGCAGTTCTTGGTCGACACGAGCGGACTGTCGGCGCAGTCGACGGCGATGCAGACGCTGATGAAGGCGGCCCAGACACGCCAGGGCTTCAACCTGCAGCAGGTGTTGCAGCAGGCCGGTCTGACGAACAAGCTGGTGGCGGCCAACTTTTTCAACGTGACAAACCCTGGTCCTGTGCAGGCTGCCAGCGGCAACGGCACAGAAAATGGAAACGGCAGCGGCAACGGCAGCGGCAACAGCAACGGCAACGGTGAGCAGCAACAGGGCTCTGTGTCCTCGACAGACAACAACTCGCCATCATCGGTCTCCTCATCGTCGACCACCTCCACTACCAATGGCGACAGCAACAGCGGCAGCGCGGCGTCGTCGGCCAGTGGCAACAATGTGGTTAAGGCGAACGGGGCAGCGTCTCTGTCAGCAGTCGCCGGCCCGGTTACTGTCCTGGCCGGCGCGGTTGCACTTTTCTTTGCTTTGTAAAAGAAAGGCCCTTTATATTATCGAACCAAGAGTCTGTGCAAACCAATCTTGTTGCCGCTGCCGCTCTCGTATTTTTCACGTTTTCTGTTTTGTTCCATTCCGTTCTTTTAGTCTTTTGCAAATTCTAAACCTTATTGCGAATCGTTTGGTCCGTCCGGTGGATTCATTGCTCCGTTCGTCGTCTTTGTATACGTAAACCTAGCTTCCAGGTATCAAACGCCAGAAGGTCACAAGCCACGCGCCGAATTGCCTTATCCATCAGTATGGCGCGAACTCTGCTTTCGGTCCACCGCGCGGTTTGCGTCCCAGACGGCACTTCGTGGCTCTAGCCGGCGGGAGCGCTAGCAGATGCGCACTAGTCTGCTTTGGGATCCCGCGCGTTAATACCCAGACTGTGCGAGTGGGCGGCACATGCGAAGAGATTTATTAAAAAATCTCAAGATCCATGTCCGCAGTAAAAGCAACCTCGTTTGTCATCGCAGCCTTTTCTTGTCGGCACATCAACGACGACGAAGACACGACGAGCAACAAGCGAATACATAAGCATCTGCACAAATTCGTCGTATCTGAGCAGGGTGCGCAGCAGTGGCCACTGTCTTGCACTCTCCCTCGCATCGTTACAACATGCCCACCGGACGCCTTTTTGTCCACGACAAGCGTCACTGATGGTACGCCGTACTACTCGCAATAGTAACAGCCGGCATTGCCCCCCTGCCCCCTTAACGTATTCGCCTCGCTCTTTCCCACCGTCCAGCTCCAACGCCAATTAGTATTAGTAACACTCCCAAGTGCGTCTTGTCATGATAGGAAAAAGCAAACCTTCAACACCGCGCTGAACGGTTAGCCGTGATGGATAACAATAGGCACGGAAAGTACGACCGAGCATGAGGTCTCCATCACACTAGAAGCTTCTTCCGCGCCGCCTTCCCTGACTACACCGTCGTCGTAAACTGAAGCCACGTCCACATCGTATGTCTCGTCCATGAGCTTCTTGCTTACAACATCTTGGCTGAACACACCTCCCAGCATGGCTGCGCAAAATAAACAAGAGCCCATGCCCGTCCCCCATGTCGTGCCGTCCCTCGTGTCGGTCGATCACCACCAGGCACTGTCGTCCGGCCGCTCGGGCGGAGCACAGCCAAGCTAGAACTGCCGCGCGCGCGCCATCAGTCGCTAGAAGGGGCCGACAGACTAGCCAAGCAAGTTACTTCTTCTGGTGTCTGGCGGGCAAAATCATTGCAGGCATTTGACCTCCTTGGAAAGTACCCCTTTGCCCTTCATGGCCGGGAACAAACACGTCTCGTCGTCTAGCCTCAGGGGCTCGCAGGAGTTTGCCTGCGCCTTGAAGTTTTTCATTTTGTCCCTCTGTCCTCGGTTCCTCTTTTCTCTCCGGTCTTCGTCTCTCTCCCCGACAACCAGGGCCACTCTCGTTTTGTATATATATCCAATGTTCAGCTCTTCGTTTGGTTCTCTGCTCTCTCATATACCCTCCTGTCCACTGCTCTTTTATATATAATCTGCTTGTCTTCCCTCGCTGACAATGTTTGACAACATTCCCTCCAACCCATACTACTACCTGCTTTCCGGCCTCTTCGTTCTCGCCACACCTCTTCTTCTCCGTCTCAAATTGTCCTCCTCAAACTCGACGGCCAAAATGACCGCTTCGACTGGCCCCGACCACACCGTGGTTGTCATTGGCGCTGGCTTTGTCGGCGTTCCCATGGCCCACCACCTGGCCAAGCACACTCCGGTCAGCGTCGTCAACCTTCGCGTCATTCTGGTCGCCCCCAACGAGGAGATGTTTTGGAACGTCGCCTCGCCTCGCGGCTTCGTTCCCTCCGACTCCTCTGCCCCCCCCAACCCCAAAGGCAACCCAGGCTTCGGCGACGACAAGCTGTTTTTCCCGCTCGCTCCTTCTTTTGCCAAGTACAACACGGGTTCGGTCAAGCGCTTCGAACAGGTCATTGGCCGCGCCACCAGCCTCGATCCCGACCGCCAGACCATTGAGGTCGCCCTCAACACCGGCGGCGCCGTCCAGACCATCCACTACGACACCGCCCTCATCGCCACTGGCACCGACATCACCGACGGCACACCCTTCAAGGTCGTGCCCAACGGTGGCGTCTCCGAGACCAAGGCCGCGCTGGCCGACTACCGCGCCCGCGTCCGCACAGCCTCGCACATTGTCGTGGCCGGCGGCGGCATGACGGGCGTCGAGGTTGTCGGCGAGCTGGCTGCCGTCTATGGTGCGAACGCCCCCAAGGACAAGAAAAAGGAGATTGTCTTTGTCATCAACGAGCCCGCACCGCTCGGTGTGTACGGGACCAAGGACAGCGTGCGCCAGATCGCCACCAACCGCCTCAAGGCGCTCGGCGTGCACATCATCGCCAACACCAAGGTCAGCATGGCCACGCCGGCCGCCGGCGAGGGCAGCCAGACCGTGCTGAGCCTCACGACCAAGGACGGCACGTCGACGTCGCTGACCACCGACGTCTACATCCCCGCCTTTGGCACCTCCTTCAACACCAAGTACCTGCCCGCCAAGCTGCTCGACACCACCGAGAAGAACCGCGGCCGCGTGCTCACGCGCGCGACCCTGCAGGTCGAGGGCTACGACAACATCTTTGTCGCCGGCGACGCCTCCAACCTGCAGTTCCCCTCGCTCAAGAACGCCAACGACCAGATTGCCGTGCTGGCGCCCTCGTTGCAGATCTACCTCAAGAACTGGGCCGCCGCCCGCGGCGCCAAGCAAAACGGCAATGCGGCCGCTGGCACGACCGCGCTCAAGGAGTACAAGGGGGACGACACCCTTATCGTGGCCGTGTCCACTGGTCCTGCCGGCGGAACGGGCCAGTTCGGCTCGTGGAAGTTGTTCAGCCTCCTGATCTGGGCGCTCAAGTCCCGCTTCCTAGGTACCGACAAGGCTGCAGACTATGCCAGCGGAAAGCGCGCCATGACGGATACCAACTGGTAGACACGAATCGCTTGTCGTTTTCTTTTTGTCTCTTTTGTGCTTTCGAGTCTTTCGTCTCTTGCGTTTCTGTTCTGATATATTATTTCCAATTGCTTGTTTGAGTGTTATTTCATAGACCAGTTTTCATTTACAAATAATTAGAATCAGCAATACCAGAATCCGCAATGAAATCGGCAATCGGACTTCCATTAGTATGTACCGTCTCTGGTACTCTACTACTCGCTCCTTATATATCTAGCCATCCCTCCTTTTGAGCCATATTGGGCTTATATCGCTGGTCCACGAGCCAGAGGCGAAAGCACGGCATAAAGGAAATCCTCGTCCATGCTTTCAGCCCCTGGCTCTCCATGTAATGAATAACGGGAATCATGGAAAACAAATGCAAGAAAATAATAACAACGAAAAAACCACACTCCTAGGTGACTAGAGAAACTGGCGAAACAGGAAATGGCTCGAGGGTGCGTTTAAGGAATTCAAAGAAAAAAAGAGGGGACGCGCGCGCTCGTAATCTGAACGTAAAGAAAAGCAAGCTGTCTTTTTTCATCCGAACTCTCCCCCACGATACAAGCACGAGAGACTGTTGCGTCGTTGGCCTCTACGGGCGAGGGTCGTAGATCTTGTGCTTGATGTACTTGGTCAGAGCAACATCGCCCCACTCCTCCCACTCAATCCACTGTTCCTCGGGCAGGGTGCTGACGCCATCGCGACGGGCCGCCTTCATGACTTCGCGCGCCACCACCAGGCTGGCATCGCGCACACGCTCAATGCGAGGGTAGATGAGGCCCATGCGGAGCTCCTCGGTGTTCAAGCTGCCAGCAAGGGCTGCGGCTGACGTGTAGACCATCTCATCAGTGATGCTTGTAGCCTTGGCCAAAATGGCACCCAGACCCAGACCGGGGAACACGTAGACGTTGTTGCCTTGGTTGGGGTGGTAGGTGATGCTCGAGTCCGCCGTCTTCACGGTGTAGGCCGAGAATGGCGATCCTGAGGCAAAAATGACGGTGCCGTCGGTCCAGTTGACAGCCTGCTCAAAAGTGCATTCGGCCTTGGTCAGGGGGTTGCTGAGAGGGAACAGGATGGGTCTCCGGCTTAGGCCGCCAGCATCGACCGAGGCCTTGAGGGCGCGGACCACAGACTCGGTGAAAACACCGAATGTGGCCGTTAGACCAACCAGGGCTGACGGCTTGACGTACTCAATGACCTCCTCCAGGCTTCTGAACTGGTGGCCGTTGTTGTCGCTGCGGGCAAAGTACTTCTTGTGTTCCGCCAGCTTGTCGCCACGGTCCTTGGTAACAAGACCCTTGGTGTCCACCAGCCAGAACTTGTCACGAGCAGCCTGTTCTGAGAGACCATGGCGCGTGTAGTACTCGACGAGCTGCTTGGCGACACCGACACCGGCGGATCCAGCACCCATAAACACCAGGCGCTGTTCCTCCAGAGGAACACCGGACAGATTCACAGCACCGATGTAGCTGTTAAGGAGACGTGTTAGTTAGGTCACGTGATGCCAAGACCCGTGTAAGTCGGGGCGTGGGAGGGGGATGGCGAGAGGCTGCACATCATGAGTATGTCACTTACCCTCCGAGAACGACAGCACCAGTGCCCTGAATGTCGTCGTTGAAGCACCGGTACTTCGACCGATACCGGTCAAGGTAGTTGAAGGCCTTTTCACTCTCAAAGTCCTCAAACTGGACCACCATGTCCGGGTAGACCTCGGCGCATGCCGCCATGAATTCGTCCATAAAATCCTGCTGCTCAGACACAGGCACACGCTTGGAGCGGATACCCAAGTACAGGGGATCCTTAAGATTGTGCTCGTTGGCTGTGCCGCAGTCAAGGACGATCGGGAGGGTGTTGTCAGGGCGGATACCAGCAGCGCCGGTGTAAAGAGCCAGCTTGCCAATCTATGTCGGTTGTTAGCATAAGGGAAGAAAATAAGGAAAGCAAATACGAAACCGCAAACAAACTGAGAAACAGAAATGAATCGCAAAAGACGTACGGAAATGCCGACACCGTTGATGCCCAGGTCACCAAGGCCCAGAATGCGCGAGCCGTCGGTGACGACGCAAATCTCGGGCTTCTGGTGGGGCCAGTTGCGCAGAATCGTCTTCATGCTGTTGCGCTGTTTGATGGAGATGTAGAGAGCCTCAGGGCGGGTGTAGATGGTGGAGTACTGGAGGCAGACATCGCCGATGGTCGGGGTGTAGACGAGCGGCATAAGCTCGCGGGCGTTGTCGATGAGCAGGCGGTAGAAAAGATCGACATTCTCACCCTTGATGGACGACAGGTACAGGTACTTGTCGACGTCCGTCGGCCGCGAGCGGACCATCTTGAGGGCACGCTGGCACTGCATGTCCAGGCTCTCCATAACGTGAGGCACGAGGCCAGTCAGGTTCTTGGAGACACGCTCCTCGGGAGTGAACGACAGGCCTGGTAGTCGTTGTTAGATAAAAATGGAAGGAAGACAAGGCGAGTGAATCCAATGACATGATGGTGAGAGTGAGAGTAAGGTTTTGTTCTTGTTCTTGTTGTTGGGGAGGGACTCAGGTATCCAACGATAGCAAACAACAACATGAAGCAACACAAAATCATCTTGTAAACTTGTTTTGTTCGGTTTTTCTCTTGATTTCTCTCAACTCACCCTTGTTCCAGTGCGCCTCGCGCAGGACCTGGTAACCGCCAGCGCGGTGTGGAGCAATGTATTCGGTCATTTGTGTCTGCTGGACGGTGCCGTAATTTGTTTGAGAGTATCCACGGTGTTGGTCGAGGGCAGCCATTTTCATAGCGTCTTCAATGGCAGAAATGTCGACGGAGGCCATTGGATTTAAAGCAGAAGCGCGACGGGTGGACGAGAGGGAGAGGCGCTTGTTAGATATAGATGACTGAGACGACCGGGCGGACGCTACGGACGCAGATGGGGACGAAGAGCGCGGGGTGGAGGCGTACGAAGTGGAATTGCTGGTAGAATATGACGCCATGGGCACCATTGCAGAAAGCTGCAGGTGGTGGCGACGACGGAGGAGAGGAGACGGACGGGGGAAAAGAGGAGTCAACAAAAAGGGACGAAAACGAAAAGTAGGCAGGTGTGGATGGATGAGCGTGAGGAGAAAGGGCAGAAAGGAAGAGGAGGCGGTCGTTGTGGAGGTTGTGGAGGTTGTGGAGGTGATGGAGGTATTAGTGGTGTTAGCGTCGTTGGTGTTGGCTTTCGGGGTAGAGTGGATGGAGCTGCAGATATAGCGGCGTCTAATAGATGGCAAGAAATCGGCGTGGGCGCCAAAAGGGACTGTTGATTTCGGGATATGGGTTGGAGTTGTAAAGGATCGACTGGCCAGAGTCGACGAGAGAGCAGAAGAAGATGACGAGGGATGAAGAGGAAAACGAGCAACTGTAAGTGCAGACGGAGACGAGGTCGAAGAGAAGGAGACTTTGACTTTGGGTACTGCGGTAGTAGGACGACAATAGAGCATGCACGGTGTAGTCGAAAGGCTAGACTGCAGATGCGGCAGAGACTTGACAAAGAGCGGTTGTTCTCGTCGAAGTCTGCGGACACTGGCGAGATTTAGCCCATTTAAGGTCTGTCGACGGCGCAGTATCGAGTGACTTGGCTGTGGGGCCCGAGAAGCTGCTGCTGAGACCCATGCGGACGATATCCTGGGCATGGATTGATGGGCAGGCCGGGGCCAGGGGGGCAAGACGAGGGGGTAGGTAAAACAAAAAAGGAGGATGGAGGTCGTGTCGTCGCAAGGTCTCGTAGGGTGTGATGGGTACGGCAAGGGGCGTGTGTGTGGACGGGACGGGAGATGAGAATACCAAAAAAAAAAAAAAAAAAAAAGAACGTTCGGAGGGAGCGTAGAAACACAGGCCAATCGACCAGCAAAACGACGGGGTGAAAAGGTGAGCAAACAGGAGCGAATAAGGATGTCGTCGGAGGCGTGTTTCAAAGACTTGAAGGGAGAGAGGAAGTGACGAAGAGAAGAGACATAAAGAAATACAGGCACAAAGAGACACAAAGAAACGAGCTCAAAGGATAGGAAATAGACATAAAAGGGAATGTTAACAGCATGGTCCGCTGCGGTTGCCAAGGGAGGTCGAACTGCTTCAAGGAAAATTGACTGTTTGGGAACGATGTCGATGCTGCAAATCAGAGTGGATATCACAAAAAGGTGTGGAGCCCTTCGGGGAAGACGTTAAGGGGGTCGTTGTCATGGAAGGTGCGCCGCATCATTCTCGAATTTCCCAAATGTAGCAAGAACGGGCGGCGCACACCCAAGCTGGTCGCGCCGAGTGCATACGCCTGCCTGACTGGTCATGCCGGAATCGCCCGAGCTGTTTCAAAGTACCCAGTACCTTGGGTACTTACACGTGGGACCAACCGAATGAAGAATGCGCATGTAGACGCAATCCAGTATTCGTTATTATGTTTCCATACTTTTTGGAATTTTTTTTTTAAAAAAAAAAAAAAAAAGAAAGAAGAAGAAGAAAAAGATATGCTTTGGGGAATTCATGGCAGTTGTTCCTTCCTCGAAGCGGAGGTGCTGCAAGGATTGATCACGCTGTGCGCAATGGCGACAATCATCTCAGCATCTGCACGAAGGACGAGCCACGCAGTAAAGCAAAAGAGGCAAGCAGTCGTATTCGGGCATGCTCAACGGATTACACAATGGTTTCTAAAAGGAGGCACGAGGGCTGGGGAACAGACTTGGAGGACGAACCGACATGGGAAGGAACAATCAAGCCGATCAGACCGACCAGGGTATCTCGGACAGGAGACTTCGGGCACGAACCACACCAGCGACGGCGGACTCCGATTCCACGACTTACACCACACTTTGCGGCCAACAGCAGAGATCTCAAGAGAGGGCTGTGCGTTTTGTTGGGGACGGAGCAAGTCCAGGGCGCACCTGCCTTGTACGGCGGAAGTCCGGTGACAAAGGGCTTCATTTTTGTGAGGAAGGGTAAGCCAAAGCACGGAGTACGGATGTCTGGTTCCTGCGAGTGGACGAAGTACGAAGTATTCTGTACGCAGTGCAATTCTCCGTACGGTGAGATGTGGTCCACATTGGGCACAGGATGATGAAAGACAATGAAAAATAAGAAAGCAAAAGTCTACTGAAACGGGGGCATGAAATGACAGCTCCGGGGTACGGAGCACAAAAGCGTAGGACTTCTGTCGAGTGATAACGGGTGTTGGGGATTGACAGGCCAAACAACGGTCAGAAGGTCCGGAACGGTGTCTTACTTCGTATTCTGCACGCGGGCTCGTGCACTCAGGTTACGAACGGTTGTTTGATTATTTACTTTTCCCCAAAGGTCTCTCGCTTTTCCGTGCCTCCCTGTCCCCCCCCCCCCCAGCCCAAGCTAACTCTGCAGGGAGCCACACTTCGGATCGCTAGATCAACCGGCATACACCTGTGCTGGGTTCCGAGAGGAGCAGAGAGCGTATATTGAACCAATGGGTGATTCGCCGTACTGCAGAGTGGGCCTGTGGATTACTACTTCGAACACCTATTACACGGCTATCGGCCACGGAAGTGCGTGATACGGAAGTGCGTGTAATGTTTGCTCTGTTGATGTGCCGCGTTTGTCGAGGGACGAAGGAAAATACAGACGAGACAAAGTCTGCAAAAATACGAGAAAGGGATTAACAAACCATATGATTACCGTTTGACATAATAAATGGTCGGAACCTGAGCGCGGGGCGTGCGGACGAAAGCAAGAGACAGGTGCAGCAATAAGTGGAGTTCCGGCGCAGAGACACGCAAAGAGCAGTCGCCGTTCCAGCTCCTCTTGGGCCATGTCACGGCGTGCCGCCTCGGAGCAGGCTGCCTTTAAGAGACCACAAGTTTATGCATGTGGGAAACAGCCATTTACTTTGCACATAAGAGACACAAGCAGCCGATGGCCGCATGGCTCCCTAGCTGACTATCTTGCCACCAGCATGTGAGCTGCCTTCGAACACGCGCTGGAGTAAACACATGCAGACCGTCGGCAACAGCTCGCAAGCTTCGCTGTGAGTCACATTACAGGAAGAAGCGACCTGGAACTTTGCTCTGCACAACGGCCCGGCGCTGTGATATAAGTGGTCGAAAGAGCTGTGCAAAGGCTTCAAGAACTGTAGACAGTAATGCGTCGAACGTAGCACCCGTTAGCTTCGATAAAAAGGCCCCCTAATAACGATGGCGGGAAAATAGCCCATCGCTTCTTCCCTGATGTGTCGCTGGTAGTCTCACATACCCCTGCGTCTCCGACTTTTCCCGACCGCCTGTCAGGGAAGGAAGAGAAGTTGTAACCACTGCACAGCCCTGCCTTTCCAGTGTCAGGTCCCCACCTTTTCTGTTGGCATTGGGTAAAAGTTCCCAAAATGGTAAAAACCTAGGAAAACAGCTCTGTATTTCCCCATTCACCAGTCAGCGGTGCAAGGACAGGTCCTCCTGCCCCATGCGTAGTATGGCCTACCAGACCGTTCAGGAAGCAACAACAGGCAAGGTTTTAGGTAGTGTTACGGAATAATACTCTATCAGTCGAAGGGAAGAAGGAAGGGAAGGCAAAAAGGGGAAGAACATTCGACCATAAACACAAGACCCACAGTGCTCCACCCTCAAACCGCTTTTCGTTGGGCGCTGGACCTTGCTTTCCTAATTTGACATTTCTGGGGGAGGCCATAGGACCAGCTGCCTTTGATGCCATGGCAGTTGATTCCATGGGTTTTAGGAAGCTCGGTGGACGCCTTGCATTTTGTACGGAGTCCTATCATTGTACGAATACGGCCATAGGGAATTCACGGACGGCTCGTCGCTTTTTTTTACGCCTCTTATTTTATCCCTGCCTCTGGCCCCATTTGTCTAGATTACAACTTTGTGTGTGTTCTAATTTTCGATTTTCACCCGACAATCCAACACAGCTGATAGACGACAAGAAAACAGGACAAGGGATGTGAGAAGAAAACAAGACGACTCAAAATGGAACGGGATGGAAACCACACGGCCTTCTGCGTCGTTGCATGGTGAACGGATGAATTACAAGGTAGGGGTCGGTGAGACGCGTGGCGGGTCCATACCGTCGTATGCGTGTGTTCCCCGGGCGTTGTTCCGTTTCGTCCCTTGCGTTTTCGCCCTTGCTTTTTTTATAAAAAGCAAATCCATGTAATTGCTTTCGTTTTCGTCGTGTCAGCCCCCCCTCACGTTTTTCTCGGTGTTTCTCCTTTCATCCCAGTGTCTCAACGTCAGATGCAAACACAAAGTTTTAAAAGACTCCAAACGTCTCTCAGCCGGCTGTCTCAAACTCGGCTTGTAACTGAACATAACCTTGTTCGCCCTGTAGGAAGCACCTCCAACCTTACTCCTTGTCTTCCCGACGTTTATGCATGTGCTTCATGTTTGCAACGGCTAGGAAAATTAGGGGAAAGTATCAGTCGTACTTCGAATGTCAAGACATGTGGTCGAGCCACCCAAAACGAGTGGACGAGAGTGGATTGTGGACGACGACAGGAAACAGAAGAAGCGGGAAAGCAGCGATGAGAAGGTCCAGAATACAAGGGCAAAGCCAGTTGGGAACAAAGATCGACAGATACCGACGGCAAGCAGGCCGTTCTTAACAATAAAAGATGGCGTTTAATGTGTGATGATCACCTCAGAGGTCCAAGCCTGCCGTCCCAATGCCGCCTTCAAGATGCTCTTTCTGTGTGTGCCATTTTGCACATTGATCACATGTATTGGCGAAGTACCTTCAAAAAATGCATGTGCAATTTGCGTGTCCACAGCTCCACATGTACTTGCGTCGACCTAGGATGGACCAACAGCAATCGCGCTGGTAATTCCCATAGCAGGACCACGTCACGAGGCCTGGGCAGTATGGGGAAATGCTTTTCTTTCGCCTTACCCTATTATTTACTTCGTATATGCAAATACATGTCAATAGCACTCGACTTTCCTTGATATTATGAATCAAACTTGTGAAGTAGAGTCGACTGTCTCCACATGTATCAAAAATGAGACGCTCTTATGATTCTGTGAGTGTGCATTTGCTGAAGCGTCTGCGTAGACCTGCAATGGCTAGCTATAGGTTTATTAAAAGGACATAAATGGCGAAAAAAAAAAATATTGTATAAAGTAACACAGAGTTAAAGTTGAAATAAACATAAAACAGAAGCATATCGAGACAAGCCTAATTCATACACGTATTATTACACAACAAGAATAGTAAACTAGCGACACATAGCACATCCACGTTGGAAAATACAACGAATTCTAGCAAACATAATGTTTCACCCTGTTGGACGACTGTCAACATACGCCCCGGTTACCGCAAATACCAATTCAATTCCGTTCAGCATCATTCAGGCCCAGTATCTAACTTCTACGGCCGTCGTTTTCGTGGCGCGCCAATACTCCATAGCCCCAGTTCTTGGTTCTTAGCCTTGTGCTTCACCCTGGTATCATGTGCTTCGAGGTTCTGACATACAGATTACCTGCCTCGTGCAAATCTTCCCGCCAAAGTGATTGTTCCACTTCTGCCCATTCTTAGATCTAGATACACGTACTGTTGTACCCCCGCAGAGATGCACAGGCGTCAGTCCCCATTCTTTTGCTCCGTATGTATTTCGTTGACGAAAATGGAACCGCAGCTTGTCCAGATGTCACAAGGAAACCGAGCCCCGCCTATCTCAATTCTGCCAGTCAAGGCTCCTTAGACCACGTCTGTAAATAGATCCCGAGGATGAGAGCAGTTCAGGACATCGCATTTTCTTGTGGGCCTCTTTGCCCTCCTGTTGTTTACTTTCCTCTTTTTTTCTTCTCATTTTCATTTAATTGTTTGCCGACAAGGTCTGCACCGGCCATGCCGTTTACAAACACGGAGTACAACATATCCCATGAAAGATCACGAAGCGAAGAATAACGAGGGGAAGGACTGGAATGTAAGGCCTTCCAAGCTAGGGCCGGGAAGCAGAAAATTCACGAGTCGGAGTTCAATCTGCGTCACAAAATAGGTACAAATCCGAAACCGAAAACCGTAGACACAGAAGTCACGAAACAGGAAAAGCATATGCTTTGTCATGACCCGGTACAACAAACACGGACGTGGTTCTCCGTCTACTCACGCGCGCAGCGCCGTAGCCGTACAATGGCGAAGTACTCGGTGGTGTGTATCGATGCTCCGGCACTTTTGCACTGGCCATCCTCGGACCGCGCTTACCTGTGGCTTTCGTTGCTTTTCTGCTTCTCTTGTAAATCGTACGGAGTAGCTTGTTTCGTTTTGGAGTCTATTTACGTTCGGCTCTCGTCCTCCACTTCAACAACCTGTTAGTCCAGGCCGAAAATAGACTAGTTAGATGGCCAAGGCCAAGGCCCCCCAAAAATCCCAAAAACGTCAAGGATCAGGTCCAAAGCTTGCCGCCTTACGGAGCACAATCGGAGGTGGGGATGTCCCCAAGAGCGAAAAGAGGCCAGGCCCAAGAGAAAACCACCTAGCGAAAGAACCAAGAGCAATAGCCATTCCCCACACGTCACGAAAACGAAGGCAAAGGGAGGAATCAAAGGTCGTCCATTGATGTTGCATATTCCAATTTGGGTTTTCATTGTCTGGAACTGCATCTCCAACGCGCAACTAATACTCAGTCGCTGGCCCCTTTTTTAGGACTGATTGCTCGCATGTTAATACGAAACATACCAATGACGGCTTCTCAGAATGCGACAAAGTATCTGATTGCGTTTCTGTTTCTGTTTCTATTTTTCTATTTGCCAGTTGATTCTTGAATTTCCAATTCTTTCCATTTTCGCAAGGCTACGTCTGCAAGAAGGGCACGAGACACATCACAGGTCGACCTGCATGAATCCATGGCAATATATCGAAAATAAACCGGAGCCCAAAAGACAACTAGGAATCCAGAGACTCCAAAGTTTAAGTCTTGCGCCTACGCTTCGGTTTTGTAAAAGATAGAGGGC